GTTTGTTATAAAAAATTCCTTAAAATTTATTGGAACAAACACGTGTTGATTTTTTCATTCTAATCCAATTTCGTTATGTGAGAAATTTAATTTTAAAGTAAAGCTGGTTTCCAATTTTGTTCTAAATTTCCTGTTAACACAAAGGTCATGTTTACTTTTCCATCATCACTATCATCATTTTTTTTTACTTTTTTTATAAAACGTTAAAAATGAGCGTTCTCATAGCCGACACACTATATTGCATTAAATTTGCAATTAATAAAATTTTTAAATATAATTTACGTCTGAAAAATCCAAGTCTTTAAACATCATAATTTCCATATTCAATGAAGTTTCACTTCACAGCCACACTAATTAAATTTCGAATTCTGTTTCGCAATTAGTGGCCTTTCAGAGGAGAACAAGTGGAAAAAATGGAGCCGATCTTGTTCCACTCGCTTTCTCCCGGCGCGCGGTGAATATTAAACAGCGGAAGGAGAGCGCCTTAATAATTCTACTTTGCGGCGGTAATAATGAGGGGCCGCAGCGGCTATTTGATCTCGCCGTCCATTCATTGTACGTAGCTTCGATGTGAGTGCTGCTTCTGAGCTGCTGGCCATTTTTAATATTAACGGCGTCGTGATTCCTTCCCCTTCGCTCCACTTGGCTCTACGCGCGCAAGATGAAAAGCCATCACAAACCCCTGATATCACCAGCGTAAATCCCTCTCTCAAAATCTGACCAAAGAAAAATGCATTCTATCATTATAATTTTATCGAAGACTGTTGCATTCGAGTGTTATCTATGATAGCCATAAAAAGAGGGGAACAAATTTTAACAAAAATTAATTTCAGCTGATGTGTAATAATTATTTCATTTTATAAATATAAACGGACCTAGATTTGTACAAATTTTGAATCGTTGAAATATGTTTTTGAAGCTTTTAGAAAAAAATTGTGAATTTCATTTTCATTTTGAAACTGTGGATTCAAAGCATAATGTAATTTTTTATACTCGTATTCAAGCCCATTTGATTATTACACCAAATTACGAGCTGCATTCTGCTTTCTGACTGCTCCGCCTCAAAGACGGCTTCATTACGATTATTATTTCAGTGCTGCTGCGAGTTAAATTAATCCTAGCCACAGCATGCAGATGTAAGTCGGCGCGTGCCATAAATCAGCGGAATGAGCTGCATGCATGTGCACTCGAATTACAAACAGTTTCCAAGTTGCAGCACTCGGAGTGCTTCTCCAAGACGATATTATTTTTTATTGCTCTCGGAAGCGAGTGAGCGAGGAACAGATTTGGCACAGCAGCAGAACCTCTGCCAAATTCCTTTTGTGTCACGGCGCATTGCTCTATTTGCACGTTTGGAAATGTTCTCATTTCAATGAGTATTATTTTAAAATGGAACAGTGGGATGAGTGATGATAAAACCGCAAGAATGACGATATTATTTTCATGTTGTTTAAAATTGTTAAATATTTATTTACATTATTTATATTTATTTATCCCTATCTGTTGCATTAGCAAGACAATATGAATTTAGTATGATTAATTTAATACTTATTTAGACCAAGTCAATTTTAGGTGTAAAATAATATCTGCTATATATTTGAGTCATTTGTTTAAATACAAATCTAAAATGAATGATGATAATTATCATTGTTTGCTACTTTCATTATCCTGTAACTCAATGATTTAAAACTTTAATATTTTTTTGTTTAAAAAAAAATATTTACAAATAATTTCATTTAATATTAAAAAGGTAAAATAATTTTTTTATAAAAATCAAACAATAGCAATAAATGATATATTAAAAATAAATATGATTTTAAAATTACCTTAATGATCAGCGTTAAAAATTGTGCCCCTGTTTGATGGGCAGATTGTTGTCAAAATGTGTCGCTTTAGAACAGCGAAGTGATGATGCGGCAACCGCAAGCCGACTTTGATGAACACCTGCTCATCAGGCGTGGGCGCCGGATTAAAAATAACCCTTGACGGTGAGAGGGCGAAAGCATGCGCTTGCAAATGACAATTAGTTATGTTGCGTGCCGTCCGTTAATTACACACCCTCGGCGATGATCCTGACCCGATGCAATTTGTCCGCTGATTAAAATCGGCCGGCAAAACAAAAGGAGATGGCGTGAGCAGCGTGAATGAGCCGAAAAAATAAATCGCCAACAAAAATATCGCTATGGGGGAGAAATTAAATTTGCGAGGGGCCCGCTTTTTTATTCTCGTCAAGAACAATATTATTTTTCCTTCGCCGGACGTGGCTTAATTGACGAGCCTATCTCTCTTGTGATTTAATTAATTTATATTATTTCGCTGGCTCGGCAGACGCGTCGTAAAAAAGAAGAGCCAAAGAGGCTCTTCAATTAGCATTTACACGAGAGCGGCCTGAGGCAAAAAAGAGGAACGCAGCTGCGCCCAGACTGAGTTCGCCGCGTGCAATTAAGTAATTTGAATTTAGATTAAACTTTGCAAAAATGTTTTCCGCCTGCTCACTTGCTTGTTTTCGTAGAAAACGGAAGAATCTGGGATTTTGTTAAGAATCTCATGTCCCCGATTTGATCATAAAATTTCTTATGAAATCTGGTAAATCCAGATTTTGATGTTTTGTGTTATTTATGGAAGCATAACTGTTCTGCTCCAGTCGGTATCATTGAACGGCCATTAACATATTATGATAATATTTGGGCTTCAATATATTTGAAATTAAAAAGCCCTAATTATATTTCAAATACTACAGGATAGGAAACATTTTAATCATCCAGGTGAAATCAATATCCCATTGAATTCAGGCTACAATTTTATAGTCGTTTCAGAACTGCACCCATGGGTAGGACTGATTGCACATTATTACTTTGATTTCATATAATTATAATTTCTTTCAATGTTTCCCTCTTTGAAATTCTAGCATTGTTTTACTTTGCTGCTTTTCTCAACGATTTTCATAACTGTTAGAAGGATGGATTATTAAAAAAAAAAAAAAAAAACAATTTTCACACATCTGAATTAATAATGTATTGATTATTACGTTTCAATTAAATGAATTATTTTTTCTCAGACCGTTCTTCAAATTGCGTCTAACTGATTCAAAACAAATGTGTTATGAATGTTATGAAATTGGAAAAATCAGTTTGAATGACGTCTGCAGTTCGAATATGACATGAATAACACAATAAATTGGTGCCCTGGATGTATGTTGAAAGTTCATCAAACTGAATTGCTGTTACAAATATAGTCTCAATCGCCACAATAAAACCAACGCATACAAGAGCAGAGGGCGAGTCGTTTGGTCCCAGGGCAAACATCTCGGAAGGAAAATGACGACAGTAGTGCGAGAGTGAACGTCAATTGGAATCAGATTGGAGATTTGTGACACACCGCGAGAGAGGGAAAGAGAGCCAAACTCTGCTCTGCCGCGTCAGTGTCTCTTTATTGATAACTGGTGACTGGTGACTCGCGGGTCTTTGGAAAAGTCTATCTTTTTTTGGGGCTTCTAAATAAAGAAGCGAGCGATTCTCGCTTCTCTTGCAACGCCGACCGATTGGTTGGTCAGTCAGACGACGTGAGCAGCAGATTTTATGGCGCTAGAATTTGGCCCCGGCGAGGTGGAGAGAGATAGGCCACCCGCTCAATACGCGCGACAAGCCGGTTGCCTCGTGTCTGCCCGCCGTCGCAAAATAACACACGCAGTAAGAAGAAGGTGCACCCCTTTTCTTGAAACTCCCGGTGGGCAGAGTCCCGGAAATGCGGCACTTAAATGAGGATTTGTGTCGTCTGCTCGTCCACTTTGCTTTAGACACGGAAGCTGAGGGGATTCGCCTGGGGAGAAAGCTTTTGCTGGACCCGATTTTGGGGTCGTGAGATTTGAAAGACGCTGGAAATAGACACGCAGGAAGGAAGCACGAAACAGCGCAGAAATTGTTGCTGCCACGGAACCGGAGGTGAGACATTTTGACCATGTGGTGCATGAACAGTTTTGCCCATGAGCAAGCGCTCGGACGTTCAGGTAGTGAGAAAAGGCTTACCTTGAAGCTGGTCTCTCTTCCTGCAGTCCTGAAGAAGCGAAGCACTGGTTTTCCTTCTCACTTTCTCTTTTAATTTATATTTTGTTTTTCGTTTTTGAGTTAAAAAGAGGTCCCCACAGCTCCGCGATGACATTTTCTTTCAAAATTCACCACAAAAACCTTTTAAAACGCGCCTTTCCTTGCTTCGCCGAACACACCGAACACAACACTGATGAATTTCTTTGTTTACATCATTTATCTAAAAATGATTGTTGACTGGCTATTTCCACGCTACTGATTGGCCGACCTCCTGACTTACGAATTTTTTGCATAATAATGGCGGGAAGGGCACGCATGTCATAGAAGTGACCGTTGAGCAATATTTATACAGTATATTTATACATCAAAATAATTATTTATTTTAACTTGAGTCGGTAAATCCATCAATTTTAGGAACATTTCATTAGATTAATGAGATCATTTAACCAACATTAATAAACAATTCCAAATATTTATAAACTGCTAAGAAAGGCATACAAGTTTTTATTATGATATTAATAATTTACGAAAGCTAAATAATTGTATATTTTAAACCTCTCTTAAAAAAATTCAATTAAAATTATCACAAAGTATATTATGAAATTTACGCCCTTTCTTATAACATCCTAAATTTAATTTTATTAATTTATTTATTATTATTTGTTATTCTCGGTTCATTTATTTTCATAAATAATATAAAATGTTTTCAGAATTGCTGGTTTCACGACTCAAAATAATTGGAGATCTGCTTGGCGGTTATTATAAATTATAATCACATGCGTGCCGTTCCCGCCGTTAATATTCAAAAATTGCCTGTCAGTAGGTCGACCAACCAGTTGCGTGGAATTAGCCAAAGTCATCAATCATTTTAAGACATTTACAGGTAAACAAAAAAATCAATCAGTATTGCGCTCGGTGTGTGAGGCGAAGCAAGGAAAGAAGGAAATTAGCATTTTAGTGGTGAATTTAGATAGGAAATGTCTTCGCGGAGTTGTGGAAACCTCTTTTTGTTAATTTACAAGTGAAAAAAGTGTAAATTCGACGAAAAAGTGAAGGAAACTGCAGGAAGAGCGGCCGTAACAGTTAAGGTAGGCATTTTCTCACCCCCCGAACGTCCGAGCGCTTGCTCATGGGCAAAAACTGTTTATGCGGCGCATGGGCAAAATGTCTAGCCTCCGGATCCGTGATGGGGGTTGCAACAAAGGGAATTTCTCAAATCGTTTTGATGGCGTTTATGTAGTACATAGCGTATCTTATAAAATTTTAGACTACAAGATTCGTAAATTCTCAACAGTGGAAAATCAATGAAATTTCCTTGCCAATGCCGAAACGTGACTTTGATTATGGTTTATGGTTTATTACGGAGATTGATATATTTATAAAATTTTATTTTACATTTTAATTTTTAATATACACTGTTCAACTAAAATTTTTCCAAAGGATCTTTGTAATCTGACAATTTCTAGTTCAAAATATTCCTCGAACAAAAAGAGGTTAAAAAAAATTAAAAATATCTTTTGCTTGAAGTGTCAAATGCAACTTGCAAAACCTTGAACTACTTATGGCCAAGCTAGCAAAAACATAAATCGAGCAAAAATACCGAAAAATACACTTATTTGGCATAAAAAACTATTCAATAATTATATCTTAATTCATTAATGACACTTATAAATCAAAATTCTCAGTCAATATATTAATTTAAACATAGCAGCAGATTTTGTTTTTTTTTTGCAAACAAAATTTAAATTTTTTTTGTAATTTAAAAATTAATGGGATGTAAAAGAAATCATCTTTATATTTTCCGTTTGGTTTATTGTTGTTTTTTTTTCACTTAAAAAGCAATTCTCTCATTCTTTGTCATAAATCATAAAGTGAAATGTTGAGAATATTCGTCAATTAATTTTTTTTTAATTATTCAGCAAAATTCTGGGTAAAACAAATTATGAAAAATTAATTTCCCTTCTCTATTATTTAACCACGTTAAATGAAAATGAGGTCACCATCTGTGCTTTTGGTCTTGGTAAGAGGCCATTAGTTGTTTTCATATTCAGGTTAAATGAAAGAAATTATTTCCAGTCTGCGCACTCGGTGGCTGGTTCGCCGCTGAAAACTGCTTTGTTATTCTCTCGAGCGTCGTCTCGCCGCCGAAAGTTGCTAGCAAAAGTGGTAGCCAGCTTGAAAATACGCCAATAACTCCCAACAGCAGCACGGGTAAAAACGCTGGGAAATATTCATGGGTGCGAGCGAGCGAGCGAGTTACGCGGCTTTATTTTACATGGCAGCACACTCAAATAAATTATTCGCTGCCCGTGAAAGTAAAGCACCAATATTTCAATTACATTAGCACCCGGCGGTGAGTGGGTTACCTTTCGCACAAATCACACGTGCAGAGCTAATTTAACGCGCCATGCATTAAACGGCCTGCATATCAACGCCTCCGCTCGCTCTCCATAATACATCTCTCTCTTCCTGATTAATTGTGACGTGAGCAATCGAATAAATTTCCACTTCACACTCACAAAGTAAATCCGAGGCAGCCAATTTTCATAGGGTTCAAATCATTTATCAATTTCTTTGATATTAATAATATTTTCATATTATATTAAAATTAATTCACTTTTGAATATTTTGTTGAATTAAAGGAAATAATTTTTTATGACGATATATAAAATAAGTTTTTAGATTACATAAAAAGGTACAATTTTTATTTTAAAGCTTAAATGTTTTACACAAGTGCTGCAACCAGCAATGAAATCACCAGGTTCAAGTATGAATTTTGAACCACAAACTCACATGAATCAATGCAGGCAAGTACATGCTATTATGAACAACGCTGATTCCAAATTGTGATGAATTTAATCGTTGGAATGTTTCCAGTGTTTGAACCAAAAAAAATAATGCATAACAAAGATAAATAATTAATTAAGAAAAGTTCGCGAAACCTTCAAATTATTTTCTAAAAATTTAAATATTGTTATTATTTAAAACTTATTTCAAATTTTGACTAGAAAAAAAACCTGTGGTCCTATGTGGACATAAAACATTACATTAATTTGGTTTTAATTTAAAACTTAACTTTTTTTGTTCTTGTTGTTCTTGTAAATGTTTTTAATCGTTCTTTTATAAAGTATTAATTTTTTTAATTAAAAAATAGTCAATGGGGCACTCCGTTGAAAAAAAGTAGTATTCCTTTGAAGACACAAAAGAGGTGGAATATTTATCTACCGCAGATTCAGCGGGCACGGTTAAAGGAGCAATCACGAAACAGCGGCATAAGCAGATCGAGAATCGCGTCGCCGTGCATATGTCGCTGAATTTCGCCCATGTCGCGTTTTGAGTGAATCAAAGTGGGGCATCGAGACGAAAAGACACGACCACCGGCCTTGATTCGATCTAATAAATGAGAAAGAGAGCTGCTCCTCTCGTGCCTGCACATTATGCCAGGTCACATCACAAAGTTGCATTCAATATCGTCGCGCTCGAATCGTCAAGCTTGGGGGCGGAATTCGAATTTTGCTGATGTTCGCCCTCTGGTGACATCTGCAGGCGGCGTGCATTTCGCAGAATGCAATATAAACTCGCATGCAGGGAGCCAGAATGAGCTAAGTTTTCTTGTAGAACTAGTAGTGCCTGCGTGTGTCGTCGCTCGGCAAAAGAAAATCTAGGGCGGAGAAAAGCTCGAATATTGCGAACATAATCTCGGAGCATCTCTCGCTGCGATCTTCACGCTACAGCACATTATCGATCCGGCCTTTATGTGCCACTTAGGATTGGGTATTTTAGTCTTGCTATATAAGGTATGTTTGCGCAGATTAAAAGTAGCTAAGTCTGCCAAAAAGTTGGGGACAAATCGGGCTCATCACCCTCAACCATATAAGCTCTTGAGAGTGATTCACTTTTAATACGGCGTCAGAAGGTGATAAAAAAAATAATGGAATACGACGTCTGCTTTAAAAAAGATCTAATTTCAAGCAATTCATTTATAATTATGCATATATTCGGCATATTTTGCAGATAACATACACCCAAAATAAGGTAAACATTTTCTAAAAAAATTCATAAATCAATAGGTGAATTTTATGATATAATTTTATTTAATAGGAATATTAAATTTTGTTAATTAAATTGAATATGTATTTTTTATTTATTTAAAAATTATGGCTTCTTTTACTTTTCGGCACTTATTTTGTTATTTTTAACGTTTTTTGCTCCTTTCAATATAATTATTGGCAGAATTCTTTAAATTTTTTACTTTATTAAAAAAATAAACTAAACCAAGATCTTCATTAATATAGCTTTTTCAAATCTGAAAACATTAACACGTGTAGTATGTTAATCACCAATAAATACATCAATAACAAATTGAATAAAACTTAAAATAATGTGGAAATTAAAATTTATTTGTTAACTAATCTTGAGTTGAGAACGTAAAGCCCTGAAAAAGGAACTACGATGGCGGAAATTTTTCATGCTGGAACTGCGCTCTGCGCTATTTTCCTGCAGAACGCGTTTCGCACAATAATCACCATTTTATTCACGTAAAAGTACGGCTGCAATTGGAAAATTGCCTCAGACCGGAGCAGTGGCGCACATATAAATCACAATTTGATGCAATAACGACTTTTCAGAAAGTCGGCGGCGCGTCACACTCTGTGTGTTTCGCCGTACATTTGCCAGCACTGCTGGTAAACGACAAAAAAAGTTGCCGGGTCAAAGTGATTTTCACGCGGGGGTGGTGGGAGGTGCGAGGGTGGAAAAATCACCCCTGCCGCGTCACCCTCGGTGCGACACAACAAACGATACCGGGAAATCGGCCAATTTGTTGCAAAAATCAGAGCTCATCAATCAAAACAAAGGCCGCGCGAGTGTTTGCTCCATTTTTTTCTAATCCGATTCACCCTGCAGGTTTGGAGAGGGTGAAACGATATGTGAGGGGGAAATCAGCCTATCATCCAATTCCGGCCACGTGTGTGTGGGTGAGAGGTTTCGCAGAACAAAAGGCACCGCTCATCAGCAGGGGGCGTTGATAATTACCAGCCATTACCACTGATATTTATCATTTGGCGATAAATTCGCTGCGGCATTCGCAGAAATCTCGCCTACCCATATGTTCTAGGAAGGATGCGACAGAGATTAAAATCAAAGGTAGCAAAAAATGCTAGAACCGTTATATGTGGTTAGTCCGTCCAAAAATTATTTAATTTAGGATTGTACCTGATAAATATTTCTCTGTATATTAAAATTTGATATTCGGATATATGCTCATCTTTTTTAGCTGAAGTTATTAATGTTTTCGCTAGTAAAATCTTTGCAAAATTCCTATAAATTACATACATTGGCACTTTTTTTTTAAAATCTGGTAAATATATTAAAGGGATACTCTCCAAATTAACAGAAAATTTAGATAAGCTTCCAAGACTTTCTACGCCTCGCATAAAAAATATTATCCATTTGCGTCTATTTTAATTTATTCAAATTAATTTAGGGAGTAAAGAATTTGAAAATCTTAATACAGCTAACCTGAAAGTCAACTTTTTGCACTATTTATGTGCAATAATGAATAAGAAATAATTGCAATAACGGTTATTCTAATGAGCTTATCGTTCTAATATGATTTTCTGAGTATAAACACTCAAGTATACAGCTTGATTAGGGATGAATCCTAATTACACAACCGCCTCTGATCCGATTTTACTCTTGAGCACACATAATGCAAACCAGCCAAGCGATTTGAATTGCAGGGCGCGTCCCACACGCGGCATTTTCTGCGAATTCCACTAAAACTTTGCCAACTTGTTCTACAAATTGTGGAAATGCGCGACGGTGGCTTTCCACGAATTCGAGCCGCTCCCTCCAACGATAATGAGGTTAAAAGGGGTCGCTTTATATCTGAATGAGCAACACGACTTGTACTTGTGAGTGGGAAATAACTCCTTAACTTGCGCAAGCTTTTTATGGCGTGCACGGTTATAAGTATAAGGAACTAGAACTTGGCTTTTTCGGTCGTATAATATCCGTAGCAACAGCCACTCGAGGCGGACGTGCGTTCGGCAACATAAAACTTCCACTCAAATATACGGTTATTAAT